TCTGACGGCCCTATGATTCTTTCATATTGAAAAAACTGAAACACAAAAAACCTCCCAGAAAGAACAAAAAGGCCATGCTGTGGAGTGAGACAAGGTGCCGTGGGTGTGTGGTGACCAAAGGAGATCTCCCTCGAGACCCCATGTTTACCCCTGCCTCATTCCAGGTACCACCCAGTCTGCAGGGCAGGTGGGTGAGCTGTCCATGGTGCTAGTGAAGACCAGCCATTCCATGAAGCGGTAAGCCTCATTCTTTCTTCCTCAACCACTATCAGCAATCCCCCCCCACCTCCCAACACACACACATCATCAGTGCCTTTACTAGATCCTGCAAACATCCTGGTGTGGCTCCCGTCTCTATGTGCCACACCCTTCACCCCCTCAAGGAGAACGGAGGCTCCAGAGGGAGGTACGCTGTACAGAAAGCAAGAACACGTTCCTTGGCACAGTCGGTGGTAGATAGTGTGTAAACTCCAAGTCTGCTGCATTTGTAGAGAAGAGAAACTAGAAAGACATGCACCGAAATGTGACCCATGGCTTATCTTGGGGTGGCAAGATGGTGACTGCTTTTTTCTTCTTCATGGTTAACTCTCTTCTAAAGTTTATGTAGTAAAAGGATTATTTTTGAGATAAGAAAAAATCAATAGAGGTGGTTCTAGAAACTGCCATCGAGGGGCCCCCATGGTCTGACTCTCATCTCTTTATGCTTTCAAGGCGGGCCAGCCTGAAAGGGGTCCCAGCAGCCCCGGGCCCACACTGCCCCAGCCACTGACCTCCCACTGGGTACTACCTGCCCCTTAGGGCACGGTGGGTCCCGTGCTTGTCTCCCAGAGCCTGTTTGTCCTTTGGGGTCTTGGCCTCCCCAAGAAGTCTCACCCAGTACGAGGCACTGACAGTCTCCTCCTCTATGCCCCCATGGCACTCTGTCACTGCTGCTGGGCTGGCAGGTCAGCAGCCACCTCTCCCATTAGCCCCCTCCCTTCCCTACGTCCTTCTCTGCTGCCTCCTTGACTGATGAGTATGGACCTCATCCCTGGGGTCTCTGAGTCCTGGGGTTCTGGCTGTTCAGCCAAGGGGAGCCCTGCCAGGGAAGGGAGGAGCATGGGGTGGACACACGGGCCCCTGCTCCCTCCTTGGAGTCAGCTCAGGCTGGTGGTCATCTGCCGGAGGCCCCTCTCCAGGGCCCTGGCAGGTCTCTGACAACGCTTCATCCTGTGGTTTCTGCCTTATCCCGATGGGCCACCATGAGCCGCCCACATGGCTGTTGCTATCCTGCGTGGGTCCCCTATCCCCTCTCTCCGGAAAGCGTCCCTTTGTAGGCATCCCCCCTTGAATTACTCTGTGATGTGTTATCACCTCTTTCCTGTGGGCGCCGTGACTGAGTCACTCTCAAAGGAGCAGACAGGTGTCATTGACGTCTCCGGCGTCCTGGTACACAGTAGGCGATCTGTAATCGCAGTTTGAATGAGAGAAATGTGTGAAACCTGAGGAATACCCATCTTGGATTTGCCGCTCCCTGTGCTCTGAGGTCTGCCCTGGGGAGGGCAGACACGTGCTGCTGGACCCTGCATTTGGCATCTGTGCGCGGATAGACCTAACTCTTCAGCCCTCCCTGCATCTGTGTCTCCTGCATCTGTGTCAGCTGCCTCCCTGTCCCCCACCAGCCGCCCCAAGGACACAGGCAGGTTGAGCGAGAGCCAAAGCGCTGACCCTCCGGGGGTGTAAGCAATAATGCATTGGGATTGTTTGCAATGCAGTGTTATCGTGCCTGTGGATACCTGGTGAATAACCAGTCTGGTCCCACGTGCCATTCGCCCACCACTGTGACCCCGAGTGGTGGAGGAGGGGCAGGCATCAGCGTTTCTGCTGGGGTGCACGAAGGTCAGCAGCGTGCTGTGGTCCCATGGTCCTGAGTGGCAGAACCTTGGTTTGGGCGTCTGCTTTTGGCCTTCAAACGCTGTCACCTGACAGACCAAGAGCTGCCCTTCGGGGCCGCCTTGGGGACGCGGAGTACCGATCCCGGACAAGGGCAGGGTGTACCTTATAGGTCTTCAGCCTGCACTCAGAGCTCAGTCCTGAGCCCACAGGACACCAACCTCTCCTGATGTTGTAGCCTCCAACCCCCTCCTCACTACGATTCCCTTATCCAGAACAAACGCCACCCCTTCCAGGAAGCCCTCCAGGTTCTTCCTATGTGGGGGTTCCCCACTTTCTTTTTTTTTTTTTTTTAAAGATTTTATTTATTTATTTGACAGACAGAGATCACAAGTAGGCAGAGAGGCAGGCAGAGAGAGAGAGGAGGAAGCAGGCTCCCCGCTGAGCAGAGAGCCCGATGCGGGGCTCGATCCCAGGACCCTGGGATCATGACCCGAGCCGAAGGCAGAGGCTTTAACCCACTGAGCCACCCAGGTGCCCCAGTTCCCCACTTTCATTGGCCTCCTAGGTCTCGTACTACCCTGAGCTGGGTCACCTGCCTCTGCCTTAGGTGCCCTGATGGCCGTGAGATCCTCCAGGGTGGGGGCAGGGCCCAACAGTGCCCGGCATGGAGCTCTGCACACATTAGGTGCTTAATAAGTGTCTCTCCCATCCCATGCTGTTGCCTCTTGTTGATGTCACTACCTCTTTCAAATAAGGGCACGGTGACATACACATCTGTGTCTCGGAATGGGCCTGGCATTGGGCATCCAGCTGCCTCTCTAGGGCCCTGGCTGTTCCCGGTAGGGTCCGTGCTTCTGGGCTGCTCCAGACACCACGCCTGCCTCCCCCTTTCTGCATGTCCCTCCCCCAAGGCCCCTGCCCCGTGGTAGTGCTCCTGGTGGTGACGTGTCCCTCTTACACACCTGGTCTGTCTGGCCAGCCGCCCTGCCTGCCCAGGGCACGCACCTCTCTTCTGTGCCCGTTGTTCTCCAAGCCCCTATAAATAGCCAGTTTTATCTCTTCGGTGACAGCGAGCAGCTGGCTTAGAGGCCTGGCCCCACTTCTGTCCCCTGGCCAGGACTGTCCCGTGTCACTCTGTGACCTTGGGCCAGGCAGCCCTCTCTCTGGGTCTCCCCCACCCCATTCCTGCCCCTGCTGCCCTGGGCCCCCTTGCCCATCACCAGGCTCCCTGCACTGTCCTCCCAGGGCCCCATGGCGGAGACTAAGGAGCCGCCCGGGGCTGGGGAAGCCTGGGTCTGTCGGGACAAGCAGGGAGCAGGGGGCATACCTAGACCTCGGAGATGAGCCGTTCTGGAGGGGCTCCGGTCATGGGGACCAGTCAGGGTCACATGTTCCACACAAGCCTCATACACAGGCCCTCAACGGGGTCGGCTGACGTAGAGGTCAGGAGCAGGTGGGGGGCGGACTGGGCCTGTCCACAGTGCTGCGTGGCCACTAGGGCCGAGGGTGGGGTGGGAGCTGGGCCCTGTGGGAAGCCACTGGTTTCCCCTCGGTCCCAGGGAGGGACCTAAAGCTGGAAGAGCTGACATAGGGGTGAGCTCCCTGTCCCTGGAGGTATACAAGCAGAGGCTGCTATTCGAGCTGTTTCCAGTCCTGAATCCTTTCCTACTCACCTGCCAGATCCTGAAAACCCACTTGCATCCCTCTGCTCCCTGCCCCAACGTCTCCCAGGATCCCTATTGCCTCTGGGATCCGGCACCTTCTCCTGCCAATGCCCAATTGGGTCTTCCTGGGTTGAGTCTGGCTTTGCCCTTGGCAGAGAGGGTGAGGCCTTAGGAAGGGACAGGGAGGGCCTGGGGTGGCCAGGCCAGCAGCGCTGGGGAGATGAGGTGAGGCCAGTGGGCCAGCCTCAGGGCCAGCAGAAGTAGGGAGGGAGTCCCTGCAGGGCCCTGGCCACCCACTCCCTGGGGGAAGGTGGCTCTGCTGGACCCAGGACTGGGGCCAGGCATGAGGGAGACTGTGGCCTCCGTAGCAAAGACCACTGGCACTGGCCATGGACGGGGGCTTTGCTTTGGAGTTTGGACAGTCTGGAGTGGTTCATACATTCCCAACTGCTTACTAACTCCAGATCTGGGGCCACATCGGGGAGGGCGAGGTGCCCGTGCAGCGAGCTGTCCATGGGTCCAGCCACGGGGCTTAGGCTGGCCCACCCCCGACTCTGACTCACCTGCCAGTCCTCTCCAGCTCACCCCCACTCAACCGCAAAATCGCGTCAGCCACCCATCACCTCTGGCCACCCACTCACGCCCACGCATCACAGACACATGGCCCTAGCTCCTTCCTGCCCTGTCCACACTGCCTCTGCCCCCTCTCCAACCTGGCGTGGGCTCTCGTGTGTCCCCCGCTCTGGGTCTCCAGGGATCACTCCTATTCTCCTGGGAGGAGGGCTTAGTAGTGACCCTGCTTGTAACCCCAGAGCCCCAGCCCAAGGCCAAAATCAATAAAACCCCCACTAAACAGCACATAAACCCAAATCATTCCCTAAATCCCCAGAGTAAAAACCCAGTACAAGCATTTGGGTTTTTCCCTTTGCAGATTTTTTTTTTTTTTAGTAGACATAGTCTCTTTCTCGTTTTACAGCAAACATTGCAAATATAGAAATATTTTTCTGTACAATGGGAGGACGACAGCGTACAGTGGGGACGAGGACAGAGCACATACGCCCAGCCCACGCTCCTTCCAGCCACACCCCAGGCACAGCCCTCCCCAGTGCCCCTCGTGCCCCACAGGGCTCCGGGCAGGTCCTGGAGGCCACCCGGCTGCCTCGCTTGCTCTGTCCCTCTTTGGTGGCCTCTGGAGTTGGCAGCAAAGAAATGGACCGGGGAGGGGATCCACAGGGATCCACAGCAAACCTAGGCAAGGCAGTTGTGGGAGGAGCCGGGTGGCCACTCTGTGTCTAGTGTTTTATGTCTTTAAGAGAACTTTACTTTTATTATTTTTTGTTTAAAAAAGGAAGAAAATAAAGACAGAGAGTAAGATCAAGAAGGCAGAGAAGAATCCAAGAGGAAAGAGAATGAAAAAAGTCCCCTCCCCCACCCCCATCCCCAGACACAGTTTTCTCAAGTCCCTTGTGTGTGTGTGTGTGTGTGTGCGCGCGGGTGTGTGGAAGCCACGGCTCATTCTCTGTTGGGACTGGCAGCGCCCCCTCCCTGCGCTCTCTGTGGGCCCCAGGCTTCCACACTGGCTGTGTGCGTGTCTGTGTGCACGTGTGTCTCTGTGTGTGAGCGTGTCTGTGTGCACATCTGTGTACACACGTGCGCATCTGTGTGAGCGTGTCTGTGCGCACGCATGCGCGTGTCTCCCTGTGTGAGCATGTCTGTGTGCATGTGTGCGTGTCTACGCGTGTGTACGTGTGTGGCGCGTTGCGTGGGAGTCTCTGGGTTACGATAGCTGCAGTGGGTCTTGTGTCCTTTTTGGTCCCGTGGGCGTCACGAGTCCTGGGGAAGGTGCGGGGCGGGCGCGGGCCGTGGGCTCAGGACTTGTGCTGGGCCGACACGCCCTTCCAGTAGTCCAGGATGTCGTGCAGGTCCTCGTCTTTGGCGAACTGAACCTTCTTGCGCAGGGCGTGGCCGGCCGCCATGAACTCCTCGTGGTCCTTGTGGCGCCGGCGGCTCAGTCTGAGACGCTCCCAGATGCTCTGGGAGGCCCTGCAGGCATACTCGGGGCTGGAGGAGTAGCTCAGGTTGTGGTACTGCGGGGACAGTGGCGAGTAGGCCAGCTCGCGGGGCCGCGGCCGGGTCAGCGGCTCCAGGATGGATGCCTTGCGGCCACCCAGGCTCTCATGGGGTGGGGGTGCGGGGGGTGGGGGGGGCTCGGCCGGGTGGGAGCCGGGGTACGAGTGCCGGTGCTCGCCGTAGTGGCGGCCTTTCTCGGCCTCGGCCCGCAGCACGGCGGCTGCGGGCGTCACAGTGAGGATGGCGTCGGTGGCGGGGGAGCTCTTCTCAATGTACTTGGCCTCAGCGGCTGCGGCCTTATGGACACTGGCGGCCTCGGCGTGGAAGGCTCGCGGGCTGCGTGCGGAGCCGCTGGACGAAGAGCTGGCGCGTGGCGGGCCGGTGGCCGCCTCCACGCTGTGGTGCCGCTGCAGGCCGTGGCCAAAGGTGTCCTTGTAGACGGGCGCCAGGAAGCCGTGCTTGCCGGCCAGCGGCTCCGACAGCAGCACCAGCTGCGGCTCAGCCGCGGACACGGCCCCGGCGCCGGCCTTGCCGCCCTGGAAGGAGGTGGCCTCAGACTTGAGCGCGTCGATGCAGTTGTTGATGATTTGGTTGACCTTGTCCACCTCCTTGGCGATGGTGGAGATCTCGGCCACCGAGCTCTGGCTGTCGGGGCCGGGCCGGCCCAGCTCGCAGTCCCTGCGCTCCGCGGGCTCGCCCGTGCGCACCTCCATGTAGCTGCCCTTGCTGGCCTTGGGCGTCTCGCCGCTCTCTGCCAGCTTGTACGGCTCCATCTCGCCGGCCGCCAGGTACGGGATGCGGGTCGTGGCCTCGGGGCCCAGCAGTGGGCCCTGGGACAGCGGGGCCAGGCCGGGGGCCTCCAGCTCAGGCCCGTACTTGAGCTCGATGATGGTCTTCTTGAGGCTGCCGGCCGCGGCCGCCTTCTTGTGCTTTTCCTCCTGGCGTCTCCGCCGGCGCAGGCAGTAGTAGACGGCGCCCAGCACCAGCACCATGCCGAACAGGCAGCCCAGGATGGTCATGATGTAGTGCGTGGCTGTGGACGGGCTGGGCACGGGACCGGGCGGGCCGGGCGGCTTGGGCAGGCCGATGGTGAGGCAGGTGTGGTTGTGGTGCAGGCCGGAGCTGGTGGACACCACACAGTAGGTGTAGTTGGTGAGCGTGTACAGGTTGGTCAGGCGGATCTCCTCCTGCGGCTTGGTCAGCCGGGACACGGTGGACGAGCGGCTGTTGTTGAAATGCTCCAGCGTGTACATGCGCGTGAACGGGCTGGGCAGCTGCACCGTGATGGTGGCCGAGTTCTGGGTCAGCTGCTTGACCTTGAGGAGGGGCCGCGCCTCAGCCTGGGGGGCCAGCGTGGGCAGCGCCACCAGCGGTGTGGTGCCATCACCAGAGAAGCAGTCCTCATCGGCGCAGGGGGGCTCGCTGGGCTCGGGGGGCGGCGGGGGCGGGGGCGGTGGGGGCGCACGGCCTGGGGGCAGGCGTCCCGGCACAGGGGGCGGCTCAGCCACGTAGGCGCCGTCGGTGCACACGGACTGCAGCTTGGTGAGGATGCTGCGCTGGCCGTGGCGGCCCTGGCCCAGCAGGAAGTAGCCGGCGTAGAGCGGCGGCGACTCACACTGCACACGGTCATGGGCGTGCGTGGCGTTGGCGAAGGCGGCCAGCCAGCGCAGGAAGCCCAGGAGCTCACAGGAGCAGTAGAAGGGGTTGCTGTAGAGCTCGCACACGGACAGCCGGGCCAGGCCGGCGAAGGTGGTGCCGTGCAGCCGCTGGATACGGTTCATGGACAGGTCGACGTTGACGACGTTGGGGCACTCCCAGAAGGCGCCGGGCGTGACCACCTCAATGAGATTGGCCTGCAGGTACAGGTACTCGAGCTTGGCCAGCCCGCGCAGCACGCCCTCCGTCAGGTTCCGCAGCCGATTGTAGCCCAGCTGCAGCACCTGCAGGTTGAACTGGCCCGAGAAGGCGCCGTCCTCGATGTAGCCGATCTCGTTCTTGGTGAGGTTGAGGTACGTGAGGTTGCCAAAGCGGCTGAGCGAGGCATAGTGCACGCTGCGGATCCGGTTCTCATTCAGCCGCAGGTCCACGATGGTGCTGTTGATCTGCTGCGGGATGGCCTCGTAGGGTGGCTGGTTCTGGCTGCAGATGGCCAGCCACACGAAGCCCTTGTCGCCCTCGATCAGCCAGCAGTCTCCGCGGGCCAGGCCGCCCGCGTGCAGCAGGATGGCGGCCGCCACGCACGCCCATAGCGCGCTCCAGAGGCACCCGGCCATGGGGACGGCCTCCGTGGGACAGCCCGTGCCACCTGCCCAGGGGGACCGGCCGGGAGACCCCGGAGGAACCAAAGGGGCCGGCGCTCGCGCTCAGGGGTGTCCTGTCCCGGGCCGCATGCTGGCGTCGTGTGGGCACTGGGAGCCGGCTGCCACCCTCAGTGCCGCAGGCCCCCGGTCATGCGCCTATGTCCTGCCGAGGCCGTGGTCGCCTCCCCCATCGGCCCGGGTGTCTGGACAGCTCCGCCCTGCACCTCCAGCTCCACGGTCCTGTGGCAAGACAGAAGAGGGGAGAGCCGTCAGGAGGGGCTGGGGTTCCGGCAGGCCCCACCGCGGAGGAGCAAGGCCCTGTCGGGCTGCCTGGTCAAACCGGAAGGCATGTTGGGGGAGCCCATAGTCCTACAGGACAATGTCGGGTACCAGAAGGGCGCAGGACAGGTTGTGCCTCGAGGGAGGGGAGTGAAGGGAAGCCCCCATCCCAAGCCCTCCCCGGCCCCCAGCCCCATTTCCTCCCAGAGGCGACAAAACCCCACCTGCTGGGCCGGGCCCCGGAGATTCAAGGACTATGGGTCTGGCACAGGCAGGGCCACTCGCGGGACAGTTGGGAATCCGGGACATCCTCTCCCGGGAGGGCCCGGCCAGACTCACAGACGCCTGCAGAGGGTGCTTGGAGCCCTGGCCCAAGGGTCCTCAGCCCCAGCACACAAATCCCTTCAGGGCCTCAGGGCGCCTCCGGCTCCCCTCCAGGGAGGCACAGGGAGGCAGCCGGCCCCAGGGACGGCCAGGTTCGGGGCCTGAGCCCTCCCGCACTGGGTCGAGGCACATCACACTCCTCTGACCCTAAGTTTCCCCAAATTAGACTGCTGGACGGTCTCAGGGGAAAGGAGGCTGCCACCACCCCCTCGTGGGTGGATCCCGGTACAAAGGCTGGGAAGGGAGGAATGACTCTGCCAAGAAGCCCCCATGCCCACCCACACCCCCACCCGGGGCCTAGGAAAGGCCCGATCCCTCCCAGCTCTGCCAGCTCCTGAGACACAGCGTGAGGGGATGGCCACCGGCCCCTGCACAGGCCCAGGATGGGACCTTCCCTCCTGGGTCAGGCTGGGGAGCCCGTGCACAGGGAGATGGGGCTGGACACAGCAGCTCCCGCCAACGGGAGGACCTCTGGTCTGCGGGACCCGCCCTCTGCCCCCCACCCCAGGTCTCCTGCGGGACAGACGAGCAGGCGTGCCTTTCCTCGTTAACATCTGGATTTATAGCCGGCCTCTGTCACTGCTCTGTGGCCTGGCCAGCGGCCAGCTGAGTATATTTCACAGATATTGACGTTTGCAACTAGTTTGCACTGAGGCAGCTTAAATTAGGGAACAAAATATAATGATGTGAAATGGATTTTCTTCCCCTTCGGAAACTTCATAGAGCACTGTTTTGATCTGGCTCCTGGGGAGGAGAGTGACTGGTAGATGGGGGCCAGATGGGACGGAGAGGGACCCGGGGCGAGGTCCTCCCGGCCAGCCTGTGGCTGTGTGACTTCTTGCAAAGCACGGGGCCTCCCCTGGCCGGTGGGACGCTGGGGTCCCTGCATGGTGTCCCTGGGGAGGATGGAGGGCATCTCCAGTACCTGCCCCTCTACCAGGGGCCCCGAGGTGTGGGTAAGGCAGGTGGGGGCAACAGGGTCAGGCCGGCTCCCATTGCTGAAAGTGGGTGTGTAGAGCCTGTCCAGGAAGTGTGGCGTCTCAGCAATGCTGATTGTAATCACCTTTAATCTCTTGCTCAAAATAACCCAAAGTCAAGCTAAGGAGGATTACAGGGGCCTGAAGAAGCCTTATCACAGGCAGACTCTGGTGGAGGAGGGACGGCCCCCAGGATACCGGCCTCTCCCTGCTCCCCCCCCCCACCCCCTGCCAGGGCCGCTGGGCCCCTTGGTGGCTCTGGGGAGCAGCATGCACACGTGGGTCTGTGTGCGGTGAGGGAGGTGGTGGGGGGAGGGGGGCTCACCCCGCAGGCAGGCTCCCACATGTAGGAGCTGGGGTCTGCATCTGTGAGGGTGAGGCTGTACCAACACACATGTTGGGACCCATGTTAGCACCCGTGCACGCAGACAGGGGTGCCTTCGGGAGAACACGGCTCCATGGAAGCCTGCCCACGTGGTCGCTGTGAGGCCCCCCCCCCAGCCCCACCCTCCCCAGGGCGCACGTCCAGGAACACAGCATCTTGGGACGGGCACATGGTTCTGAGGACCCATCTCGTCTCCCCTGTGAACTGCCCCTTCCCCGGAGCTGCCTCCACCAGGCCAGCCGTGTGACGAGGGAGGCAGGGCTGGCCCCCCTGCCCTGAGGACAGGGCACATCCCCGCCTCGGGCGCTCCCTCTGGCCTGGCAGGTGTCCTGCTCTCACCTTTGTGTGCCATGCCTGCCCCCAGAGCCTGGGCTATGTGCGGATGGGCGGCCTCGGGGGAGGGACATGCTAGGAGTCTGGGTGTGACCCTGCTGGCTGGTCCCCTCTGCCCCTCTTATAGCCCCCAAGACCTGGCCTCAGAGGGACGCCAGGATTCTCCTTCCACAGCTCACTGTGCAGATGGGAAATGGAGACCTGTCTGTGGTCCCAGTGTGAGTGGCCCCGTCCTCCTCCTGTTAGGGCTGGGTGTCCACACCTGCAGGCACCTCGTCCCTCCAGGAGGCCCTCGGCTGCAGGGATTGGGCTTCCTGAGCGGAAACTGATGCCCAGGGAAATGGCCTGATCGGCTGGGAGGGCTCTGCTCAGGTGTTGTGCTGTCCCTTGGCCTGCCCCCTCCTCCTGGACTCACTGGCTCACCGCCCATCGTCGGTAACAGGCCCCAGCGCCAGCCCCGCCCCCGTCTCTCTCTCTCTCACACACACACACACGTCCTCCATGCCTGGCTGGTCACGCATGAAACAGACGTACCCATATGTGTGGGAGGCACAGGCCTGTGTCACAGCAGCCCCCACCTGCCCCTGCCGCCCACACCCCTGCAGGCCGGGGTCCCTCTGCCAGCACCTCTCCCTCCGCACCATCCCTACCAACTCGTGGTGCCCCATGCCGCCGCTGGCCGCTCGACCTGTACTGTAGTCCTGGACAGCGTAGTTCTACAACATTCCACAGAAGCACCTTGACCAGAACACCCTCCAGCCCATCCAGGCAGTGTCCATCCCGAGTGGTCACCAGCGACCCATCTTGCCAGCCCTGGGGGCATACTGTTTCCGTGTCCCCCAGCCCCACAGCAGCCCCTTCCTGGAGTGCCTTCTGCTCCAGGTCTCGGAGCAGCCGCCCCTCCCGTCCGGTCCCCTCCACAGCCCCCGAGGCCACACTCCTGCCTCAGTCGTTGCTTCCTCTGCTCACTTCCTCGAGGGGGTCTCAGCGCCCCTCAGGCTCACGGACAGCTCCCCCTGTGAGCTCGTGCCCCACCCCCCATTCCTCAAACCCCACACCAGTGCGCCATCCTCAAGCACGCTCTCCCCTCTCTTCCCACATGCAGCCCAGAAGCAAAAGCATCCCCCCCACCTCCCTGGGTCTCTGGGGTCGTCTCCTGGCCCCTGCTGCCAAGGTCACGCTGGTCCAAGCCACCGCCCCCTCTGGCTGGGCTCCCACCTCGTCTCCTGCTGCCCACAATCCACCCTCCCAACCGCAGCCACGGGAACCGGGGGGACCTTGGAGCGCGGTCATGGGATCCTGCCACTCTGCCATCCCCGCCCACAACCCGGGATGACATCGTTCTTCCAGGAGGGAGCAGAGGAAAACCCAGGCTCCACCGGGACCTACCAGGCCTCGCCTGCTGGGGCCCCATCCATCCGCCACCTCCCCCACCACCCCGTGTGCACGACCCCCGTCCTTCTGGCTGCAGGGCCTGGTCCCTCCCCGCAAAGCAAGAGCTTCGGATCCTAGAGCCGACAGCTCCCCCATTGGAATAGCACCCCTTCCAAGCCCCTGCCCAGTACTTGCTTATTTACTTGGAGTCACTGCTGGTTCCCTCCCCGCCCCCCGGGGTCACAAGCCCCAGTGCCCAGACCCCACGTCCCACTGGCTGGGACGCCTCCAGCCCAGATTGTCAGCTGACAGGCAGGAGTTGCATGGGGTCAGGCACCAGCCGTCAGCTCTGTTTTCTCATCTGTGAAATGGGAGCCAAACATGCCGCCTTCCCCGGAGCCCGTGGGAGGGAGATGCCCCCCCCCACCCTGCTCTGCAGGGATCCAGACCACCCCACGTCACTGTGGGCCACATCAGCCCGAACCGCCTCTGACCTGCGGATTCCGACACATCCAGCGGGATGAGAAACGCATGTCGGTCTCACGTCCTCACTTGGCAAAAACACCCCACTGCCCCCCGCAGAGTTTCTCCGTGCGCACCTCCCCCGATGGAGAGAGACCTCTGAGCACGTCCCCTCAGCCCCAGGAATCTTGCTGGACACCTGCCCCCTCCCTTCACGATGCCTCACGCTGGTCCCTGCAAGGCCCTGTGACAGAGACCCCACACCTTGGAAGGACAGACGGGCCAGGTGCAGCCTGGAATGTCCCAGAGGGACGGGGCATGAGTTCTGGCCCTGACCAGAATGGCTTCGGGGCCAGTCCCTGCTCACTTCGCTTCTGTCCTCAGTCAGTGGGCGTAGAGCCTGGGGCCCCCTCGTGTCCCAGCAGAGACCAGAGGCCCCCAGCCCCAGGTGGTGTCCTGCACAGTTGGCGATCACGTACACACGACAGCCAGCCTTCTGTGTCTGCACATGTGGATAGAGACCTGTGTGCCAAACTGTATCCGCGGGCCCACGCCTGTCTGCACACACATGTTCACATGTGCCTGGGGGGGAATCTGACAGTGGTCACTGAAGCAGACTGTCCTGAGGTCATCAGTTACCAGTGGGGAGGGACAGGAGAGACAGTAGGGCCTGGAAAGGGGCTCCCCTCCCAGCCGTCATCACCATGACCATCGGGACAAGTCCCAGAGCCATCACCTCATTAAGCCTCATCACTGCCCTCCACAGGGACAGGGGACAGCCACAGTGCCCTCTGTGACCCAGGAGAAAGGACCAGCCAGGGAGCCTCAGCCACTCAGGCAGGACTCAGGCCACCCAAGCTACTCAGCCACTGACCCAACAGCTCCTTGTGGAGGGTCCCCCTGGTGCCCAGGAAAGGGGGCAGATGGAGCCCCTGGCTGCCCAGGGGGTGTCTGGCCCCACCCAGCCCTGTAGGGAGTGGGAGGTGCTCACGGGGCCACCCAGGGACGGGCCTAGTGGGGAGGGAATGCAGATGGCAGGGGTAACC